TAAAAAATAAGATACTTCATAAATCAAGATACACAAATGGTCGATAAATGCATGGAAAGATGCTTAATCTCTTTAGTCATTAGGAAAACGCAAACTAAAATCATAAGATTCCATTTACAAACACTAAATGGCTAAAATCAAGAAGATAAAAGAAAGTGTTGGTAGAATATGGAGCAATGGGGACATTTCTGTTAGGAATGTAAAATGGTACAACCACTTTGGAAAAATGATTTGTCGATTTTCAGAACGTTAAACATATATTTACCATATGACCCAGAAACTTCATTTTTAGGTACCTATCAAAGAGAAATGAAAACAAATGTTCACAGAAACACTTGCGCAAGAAATAAAGCAGCATTATTCGTAATAGCCCCAAACTAGAAACAACCAAATGTCCACTGGGCGAATGAACAAACGGATTGTGGTATATTCACACAATAGAACACTACTGGGCAATAAAAAAATACTGATACATGAATGAATCTCAAAACATTATGTTAAGCAAAAGAAAAAAGACATAAAAGAATACACATGATGATTTCTTTTGTATGAAATTCAGTAACATACAAAATAAGTCTATAGTGATGGAAATCAGAAAGTTGTTGCCTAGAGAGAAATTTTCTGGAAATCAATCATGAAGGAATTTTCTGGGGCTAGGGAAATGTTCTACATCTTATTTTGGACGGTGAATAAGAGGCTATAAATGAATGTCAAATAAAACCCATGTAATTAAACACCTACAATCTGCACACTTTATTGTATGTTAACTATACCTAAAAATTATATGTATTTTTAAATATAACTTTCAAAAAGACATAGGATCTAACTCAAAGTGGTTCCCATTGGCCGAAGACGGGACCATTATGACCATTAAAAACAATACCTGCAAATCTGCAACGGAATGAAACCTATCTGACATGAATAAGCCAAGATTTTCATTCTAAAAAAAAAATTATTCACCTTTGAAGAGTTTCAGGCATTAATTCATTATTCAGAAAGTGGGTAACAGGAGAATATTAAGCCCATCTCTCCTTTATAAACTGTATTTCCAGTGCCTACTCGTGGGCTTTCTGGGCTTCAGGATAAGTGGGCACTGTGCTTCTACTAACTGACTGTGGCCAAATTCAATACCCTCTTTTGAGTCTTCATTTTACACCACAAGGCATCTCAGAGGCACCGAACCCGAGTGAACACTCCACTCGGTGAAGACTCTCTTCCCTGGTCTTCAACACTTTTTCTTCGGATCTCCTCTTAACACTCTACTTCTCTCCTGGTGGCTGCAGTCCCAATGCCCTTCTTCAGTGCTGCCTCCCCAGGCCCCTGCAGCCCCCTTCCTCCTGCGTCTCCCCACGTCCCGCCAGCCTCACCTGCCACACTTCACCTTTCCCTTTCCCTTTAGGCCCATGAAGGAGTAGGGGCAGCCAGGGACAGGGGCCCTCCTGGGGCTCTGGCTCCAAGAGGGACAGATCTAGCCCCGAATGCACAGCAGCGTCCAGGGGCAGGGCAGCAAGGGGCCTGGTGCCTCATGCCTTCCCCTCACTCATTTTTCCCTCCACTCTACCCCTCTGTAAACCTCATTCCTCTGCTACTGTCTGCATCAGTGTCCCTTCCTTTCATTCCAATTGTATATTTCATCTTGTCTTCAACTGGAGATGGTTCTCTAAAAATGCATGTTTTATTGCAAAATTATAAGGCATTACATTGTAGATATGGATGCTACACAGACAAATATGAACAAGGCAAGCAGTGGTCCACAAGGTACATATTGCCTTTTTAAAACTCATGAATATTTTTTCCTTTTTCATTGTGAAGACTTTCTATTGGAAATACAATTAATAGGAATTATGTTTAGTCACCTGAATCCAATTAATAGAACTGGTTAGGGTTTGTATTTAATGGGATTCATTCGAGGATTTAATTCTCACATGAGGCAGTTAGTTTCACTCATCTCCTGATTAGAGCTCTACCCTCACCCAGGCCAGCCATGGCCCTGGGCATCAAAGTAGAAACCACTGCAAACACTTTATTATAACTAGAAAAATCAATGAAAAATACATTGTTTTATTGAACATCTTCATATATGGACAAACCATTGTTAGATAAATTAAATCTTCTAGGAAGACTTCTATAACATTACTTATAAATGTGTCAAGAAACATTAGACATGATTATTTTGAAATTTGGGCAAAAGCAATGGTACTCATTCCCTAAACCTGGTAATCTATTTTGCTTTCAAATGTGAATAAAAGTATTCTGTTACCTTTCTTACTACTGTCCAGTCCAATCCAATAAACATAATCACTGTAGATGTCTGTATTTTTTTAATAAGCATTCTAGATGGTTATTACGATCCA